CGTTCAAGTAAAATAAACTGAGACCTATGCATGAAAAGGCCACAGATTTTGGAGCAGGCCTCTGACTTGGAAGCCACTATTTTTTCCATTACCCTATATGATATCCATCTTTCTGTTCCAAGATGACAGCCATACCAACCACACAATCCTAAAACACAAAGGAGTGGGGCCCTTTGTATGCTTCTTCTTGGGTAGGTTGTGAGCATTAAGCCGAATCAACAAAAAGTATTGAGAATAGTACCTGCCAAGTTGTGTGCCTGTGTGTGTGTACTAAAATGGATATGTACACTTGTATATATAAATATATATGTGTGTATGTAATATATAGATCTATATATGTCTATATATGTGCAAACATGCATACATATATACTTCAGTACACACACACATACACGCATGACTTGACAAAGGATAAGTATGGGGCACCTGGGCGGTTCAGTTGGTTAAGCCACTGCCTTTGGCTCAGGTCACGATCCCAGAGTCCCGGGATCGAGCCCCGCATCAGGCTCCCTGCTCAGTGGGAAGTCTGCTTCTCCCTCTCTTTCTCTCTCTGTGCTCTCTCTCTCTCAAATAAATAAATAAAATCTTCAAAAAAAAAAAGGGATAAGCAAATAATCATTAGTATAACCAGGTCAGCTATTTAAGTAGGATATTTTACCAGACTTCTAACCCTGCAGATTAAAAAAAAAGGATTTTGTTTTTTAATAGAACTTTTTCTTCAGTTTCTTCATCCACTACTACTGGAGAATAGATGTGTTTCTGAAAAGTTTTAAGTTCCAATTTTAAGAAAGGAAAGCAAAAGTTACCTTAGGAATGGGATCGGTGAAGCAGAGAGGCAGAGCATCCTTTCTCCCTGCCCAGGCAGATTACAAAGGCCCACTAGCCTAAGACATAGCTTTCTGCTTCAACATTCTAGGCCTCATGGCCTACCTGCCTGTCAACCAAAATGCATGTAGAAGAGAAAAAAGGAGGTAGCCCAGCGTCTCACTCCATTCCCAGTTCAGCTTCTGGGCAGGCTAAAATTTTTACACCTCCATGGAGGTACCTTTTTTTTTTTTTAAGGTTTTATGTATTTGACAGAAAGAGACACAGTGAGAGAAGAAATACAAGTAGGGGGAGTGGGAGAGGGAGAAGCAGACTCCCCGCTGAGTAGGGAGCCAGACGTGGGGCTCGATCCCAGGATGCTGAGATCATCACCAGAGCCGAAGGCAGACGCTTAACGACTGAGCCACCCAGGAGCCCTGTGTGGAGGTACTTTTGCACCTTCAGGAGAAGACAATGACATTTCCGAGCAAGGCCAAAAGCAACATCAGTTCAAAAGCCAGGCTACCTGCTTACTTTCCTAGGAGGAACTGTTTTAGAGGTGGCTTTGTGTGTGTGTGTGTGTGTGTGTGTCCCCGTCTGTCTGTCTGTCTGTCGGGAACTGGCACTTGCTCATCTCTAAATCCCTGGGTCAGGTATGGGGTATGCCCAATAACTTGACAGTGCGGTATCCTATTGGGCTGCTGTGGCCACCGTAAGGGTCGGTTGCCTGGATGGCTGAGAATCCAGGGCCGGTTTCTTCATAAAACTCAGGAATGATCTCAAATCTTCAGAAGTGCTTAAGAGACGTGCTGGTGAGGAGGGATTGAGGGAATGGGGAGCGGGAGATACCACGGAATGAGCCAACAATGATTCCAGAACATGGGACTGGGCAAGGAGAAGACAAGAAAGAAACTCTAAATGGAACCACCTCACCCCCCCCCCAGTCCTCCGCCCCCCAGCGGGACCCTTGCTCCCCGCGCTGCCCAAGCTCTGTCAGTCCGCAGTGGTCGGCTCCCGGGACCCGTCGCAGGCTCTCCGCACCTTCCGGGCTGGCGGAGGAGAGTCCGCGCGGATCGTGGGTGCAGACAGAGAGACGGGAAGCCCCTGATCCCCACCCCCCCCCCACCCCGCGCTAGACCGCTCTGGGGCTCGGGCCCTCGGGATCCGGAGGGGCGGGGCGCACTTCCCGGCCGGTTCTGGTATGACTGGTCCCTGGTGTCCAAGGTTTCCCCGCTTGCAGTCACGCTCCCTTAGGGAGAAGCTGCCGGGAGGGGAAACTTAATAGAGGACGGGAAGCAGGCGGAGCACAGCGGTTCGGAGATCGATGGTGGGAGGAAGGGAATGAGGAGCCGGGCCTGGAACACCTGTCTCCCAACTCCCACCCCGCCCACTGCGGCGCGGAAGGGCTGCAGCAGATCGGTGCTTGCAACTGGCCGCGAGGGGCTGCCACTGCAAAACGCGGGACTTTTGGGCCCGAGGACCGCAGAGCCGAGGAGCGGGCCCGGGACCTTGGGAACTTTTCCAGGGAGGGTCAGGTTTCGGCCTCCTCTCGCCAGCGCCCGCGAACAGGTGCAGAGACGAGTCTTCTGGGGCCCTCCAGTTGCGCCGCCTGTGAGCGTAAGCTATACCGTGCAAGCAGATCCTGGGAAATGCAGCCGTCCTTCCCCCCCCCCCCCCCGCCTTAGCCTACCCCCTACTGACCAAAGCCAAATGAGGAGAGGGATTCGGAATTTGCTCCGAGAGCACGCTTGGAGATCGAAGACGCTAGACACCCGGTAAATCCCAGGTATTCTGCTCCGACTGGGACACAGCAAATGCTAGAGCAGCAACCGGTTGGTTTTCCATTTCCCCAGTCTTTAGGACTCGCGGCTTTCAGGGCTGTGAGCTCAGGCCACCTGTCTTAGACTTCACCTGACCAATGCAGCCGCAAGCCTGCATAACCCTGTGACCTTGTTACCTCCGCAGCTGTGTGCAGACATCTATGCCCACGGCCTCAGCCAGCGACCTCAGTTAGCTGGGTAGATGGGTGGGGTTATGGAATCTTAGAAAGTCTCATCTGAGAAAGTTCAGACATGGAGAGAATTAAGATACGTCCGAAAGCTTGAAAATGCAGCATTAAAATAAAACATTTCTCAGTTTGCTTTGGCTGAAGACAAAACTAGCCTGGGGCACCCTTCCCCTACTAATTCCCGCCAAAAATGTCTTCTGGGCAGATTGATCAGCACAGGGGCCCAGCCCTAAAGTGTCTGCCACGAACACACCCACCTGGATTGCCTGGGCAGTAGCTCAGCCAAGATTCAGCTTTCTTCCTGATTGTGTGATTAAGTTAATGTCCATACAAAAGAAAACAAGGGAAATCTTCACATACCCTTCAAACTATATGATTCCAGACTTTACAAAAAAGGAGCATCTGCTTACCTTTTTTCTAGACCTATGTTCATCTCTGAATCCCCAACAGGTAAGGAAGCCACCTAGTGAAGAAGAGATTCTGGACAATGGGGTTTTGTTTGTTTGTTTTGGAAAGTTAGGCCCAAGCAACCTGTGTTGTTGGCTGGTTGGGTGGTTTTAAAGACACTTTTGCTCCAGAGATCCACTAGTATTCCAGGTATGGACAATTTAGTTAGCCTCTCAAGCATTGTGATTTAAGGATCTCTTGAGGCCCATCTTCCATTTGCTACCAAATATCTTTCTTACTTCTTGCCATCAAATTTTCTTCATGACCAATCTTTGTCTTTTCTCTACACATCTCCCTTTAGATTTTATTGGGGCCTGATTAACCCATTGCAAAAAACAATTCCCCAGTGCTGGAAGTAGTTTAAAGATAGCAGCACCCATCTCCTTTATTGTATAGATGAGAAAACCATAATGCAGCTAAATCAAATGTTGCCAGTGATGATGCAGAGTCATATTAGTCATGAAGAGCAGTTAAAACTGAAATTTTGTACTGTTCTCATTCTACTTTGCTGGGGATTAGTGTTTCAGATCATCCAACTGTTGCCTAGGAAAACTGAGAGCAGCCCTCAGAGAAATGTGGCACAGAAAAGTCCTTAGATGATAAAGGAGTCAACCTGCTTTTTCACCCAACAGGGGTCACACAGTGGATATATCTCTTTACCCTACCCCTGGTCTTTACTTGCTCCCTGCCCTAATCATAACTTGTTCTGTAGTCACCTTAAGCCAATAAGGCTTTCAGATCCTTTTAGAGGGGAAGCCATTGAATGTCTTCAATGAGACTGTGCAAGTTTCTCATTTCAGACTTTCTCACAGGTGTCCTCCTTCTGACATAGTGGGGGACTGACCAGATGTGGAGGACAAAGTGGGAAAGAATACCTCCTGTGATAGATAAGCCAGGGTGGTGTCTGTTAGTAGAGCATTTCTAGAATGACTCTGAAGAGAATAGATTAAGTGCAGGCTACCCTGAGACCTAAAAGGTCATCATTTTTATGGTTTTGCACTTAATGGTTGCTGAACAACTTAACTAAGAATTGTTGTCAGTATATGAAGAGTTCAGAGAGACTTTTCATAAGAGGAAGATCAGGAAGGGGAGGAAAATTATCAGGTTCTTCTGTATCGTAATGCTCTAGGACTGGTTTTTTTCCAGAGGCTGTGCAGCTGCCCAAGGCTTTAGAAAGAAGGCTGGGCTCAGCAATACATAGACTATCATGGTCATTTCACCTTGGTTTGTAAAGAAACTCCCCATGGGGTCTCTTAATGGATAATGACAGAATGCTGAAGGGTTCTAGAGCACAAGATACTCCTTCACGTAGGCATCACTCGTAGAATTAAAGTGGGCGATTCATCTGGCTTCTCTGATCAAGGCCTGAAAATTGTCTCTGGTCAGAAGATGTGAAGATGCTGATTATCCTGCTGCTGAAAAAAATGCTTACATCCCACTGACAGGTTAGCTTCATGGCAGACATCTTTGTCTGATTTGTCTTTTGATGAAGAAGCCCAAAACTTTCCAGCTAAAGGTTTTACAAACAATAATCAAACTTTATCTTCTCCCTTTTAGGTTCAATATTGGCTTAGAGTGAGTGAATGTAAGTGGGACAGGGTTTATTATCCCTCTCTTCTGCTATCTCTTCTCTTCTTTTCAGAGACTCAATGAAAATAGATGGTATCTACTCAAAGTGTAGCCCTTAGCCACACACACATACACACACACACACAAAACCTTAAAAACACTTTTCAAATAATTGCTTTGAAGAAAATAGTCATTTATTGTCAAAGCATCCAACAATACCTGGATAATCTATAAAGTTTAATAAATCTTTCCAGGGATAAAAGAAACACATAACTATTCAGACTCCATTTCACTGGCACAAAATTACACTTTGTATTAAAAGGAAATACATATTTACATAATGATGACATTCTTCACTGAAGTCCATAATCATTTCATGATACATGCACTTCCCCCTGGAAACTTAAATTGAATGGTGACCCCTTTTTCTTCATTTTATTTATTTTTGTAAGAACACAAACTGTCATTAAGAAATGCAGAAACCATCTCACCCTCCTCCTTTACTTTATATCTAAAATAAATTTTGCCCTTACATATAATTATTACATCTAAACCGTAAGTGCTTAATAATTTAAGTAGAAACGTATGACAAATGCATCAATATGTTGCAATATATGACATTTTTAAAAATGTACCTTTGTTTTTGGAAAGTGAAAATGCGTGCATTCAAAAGAAAACCCCTTGAACAACCCACCCAATCAAAAATCCACCACCCTGTCTTGTGTGTGTGTGCGCGTGTGCGTGTGTGTGTGTGTGTGTGTAATGTAGGTCGCAGGTAAACATGTAAATGAAAAGGTTGGGGGGGTGGCACGTGTATGTTTGAGTGTGTGTGTTTCTGTCTCTGGGTGCAACGTTTCAGGTCACAAGGAGGTGGTGGATGTCCTCGCGTGTTTTTCCTGCAGGTGGCTTGACTGTGAGTGTGCGCGCGTGGAAAGCTAGGGTCCTTTCCGTGTCAATTATGCGAGGTCATGTGCCTGGAGAGGTGGTGGCGCTCCCTGAAGGACTCATTGCAAATGGGGCACTTGAGTTTCTCCTCCCGCCGCCGCTTCACCAAGGGCTCCATCGCGTACTCCTTTTTGTGATGCGACCGCATGTGGTACACCAAGTCGGAGGTCATGCGGAAGGAGGCATTGCACTTGGCGCACCAGTTCTGCGCGGGCAGACACAGCGAGGTGAAGGAGGGCGGCAGCAGCGTGAGCGCAGAGGGCAGCTGCAACTGCAGGGGCCCCGCGGCCGCCGCCGCCGCCGCCGCCGCCGCCGCCGCGGAGCTCTTGGGCCAGAAGGCGGTGGCGTAGAGGAAGGGGTTCTGTTTGGGCAGGCCGCCGCCGCCGCCGCCGCTCGGCAGGGCCCCGCAACCTCCGTTCAGGTCCGCGGCCCCCTGCAGCTTCACGGCCAGAGGGTCGGTGGCGGCGGGGTAGAGTCTGGTGGGGCCCACCCCGTCGCCGGGGTGGCACGGCTCGAGCGCGCTCAGCTTCTGGCCCAGCACCAGCGGGGACAGCTGTGAGAAGGAGCGCGCCGGCTGCGAGAAGGCGCTCTTGCGCTCGTCCGAGGCGGCACCCTGGCCGCCGCCCGCGCCGCCGGAGGCCCCCGCGCCCGCGCCGCCGCCCGCGCCGTTGCCGCCCGCGCCGCCCAGCTGCGGCACCGAAGTGAAGGCGCTGCCCCGCGCCGGGCTCCCGCCCTCCAGCCGGCTAGGCAGAGGGCCCCCAGGCCGCGGGGCCAGCAGCTTGTCGGCGCCTGCCGGCGAAGCGGCCACGGGCGTGGAGGAGCCGCCGCCGCCGCCACCGCCGCCGCCGCCGCCCGCGTCCTGGTCCTCGGCGGCCGCGCCCCCGCCGTCGGTGGCCGCGTCCTCCTGCAGACCGGCCGCTCGGGCCGCCTTCTTCACCTCCACGAAGGCGCTGCGCTTCGCCTCGCCCGTCTCGGGGCTGGGCGGCGCGAAAAGGCGGCCGTTCTCTTCCAGGCTGAAGTAGCTGCCCGAGGCGCGGTACTGCTGCGGCGTGCACACCAAGTCCTCCTTGGAGGCGGGCAGGGGCCGCTCGGCGAAGCGACCCCGTGCCCCCGCCAGTCCCACGCCGCCGCCCCCCTCCGCCGCCTCCTCCGGGAATTTCCTCTTCCCCTTGCCGCCGCCCGTGGCGTTGCCGTCGGGACTCAGCTCTGCCTCCTGGTGGCCGCCGCCGCCGCTGCCGAGGCTCCGGGCCGGGGAGCAGCTGTTGCCTCCCCCCGAGTTTTCGAGCTCCCGGGCCAGGTTGTGAAAGTCCGTGGAGGGCTTGGCGCCGCCGCAGCCGCCGCCAGCCGCAGGCTGGTTACTGCCCTCGGGGGAGGGGGCGGGGTAGTGGTGGATGGGGCCGGCTTTGCCGAACTTGGGGCCGGGGCCCAAGGGCGCCTCTTGCTGCTGCTGCTGCTGGTCCTTGCCCCCGCCCCCGCCCCCGTGATCCTTGGTGCCCACGCCGCCGCCTTGCTCTTCTTGGGGGCTGGCATCAGCGCTGTGAAGTCTCTTGGGGCAGCGGAAGCGCAGATGCGCCACATAGGGGAACTCAAACTGGAAACGTTGGCTGCATTCCAGGCATGTGTAAGGGGACGACCCTGCTTAGTGAGAAAACACCACACACACACACACACACACACACACACACACACACGTGCGCGCGCGCGCACACACGCACACCACATGATTACTAAGCGTCGTCTCCAGACCAGTTTGCCATCACCCTCTTCACAAATCCACCTTCATCTCTCAGGACCTGAGCGCCTGAGAAAACAGTATCCTGTCCGACCTGATCTAACTTCCCCTCCAAATCGGGGGGGGGGGTGTGCAGTAACCAAGCCAGTGTCCCCCGGTTTATTCTCATCTATCGGTCCCAGCTGCATTGCGGACTATACCTCCGAAGTTTCCCAGCAGACGCCCTAAGGGAGGAAAGGCGCCAGTGCGCCAGAGTGAGCCCCCGCCTCCCGCCGCGTCTCCCCCCGCTAGCGAAGGGCCCCGTCGCGGGTCGCGAGCCAACCTACCATTCATTTTGCTGTGGGATCTAGAGGGGCAGAGCAAGAGTAACTCAGTCAGTTCTTTCCCATACCAAACTAGTAACTCCTCGTCTTTGGCAATCCTGCGGAGAGAGCGGTAAAACAGCTGTCCGTTTTTTATATAGGCTTCAAGGTTCTGCTCTTCTTTATCTCTGGCTGACTGGACAAGTCGCAGCCACATGAGACCTTCTGAAGAACCATTTGCCGCTGAGGTGTCTACCTACAGTTTAGAAAAAAGGAAAGAATACAAGAAGGTAGGGGGGTGGGGGGAGGGAGACCCTTGTGAGAGAATGAAGCCAGAGGAACCAGGACCGTTTCCTTTTTGTTATTCTTTTCCGAGGAATTATCTGAGATCAAGATTAACCGTGACCCAAGTTGGCACCCATCTTTGTGTTTGTAACCAGCAGGCAAGATGACTGTCTTTTGAAACACTGTGTCAATCATATAGATTAAGCTGTGGTTTTCATATACTGGTTGAATATCAAATGGGGGAATTTCTCCTTACAATTCAAATCAGTATTAACCTCTTGAGAATTCACTTCTCAATTATCCCACATTACAAAACTGTGAGGAATTTTGTTTGCTTCGGAAGTTAAAAAGCAAGCTTAGATCTTAGAAACTATTCCGTGGCATTCATTCATCTTCCTAATTTTGCCTTAAACAATTAATAGATTTTCTTTGTAAAGAAAGAATAGAAAGTGGCAGGACTTATATCTTGAAACTCAAACATATGAATTTAATGATGTTTTCTTGTCAAGCCATTAACATTTTCATTAAATACAAATTCTGGGACTAGCTAGCTTCCTAGAAAGAGTAACCTTTAGAGGAAAAGAAGGCCTCCTAGGTTGGAACACAAATGCACCCAATACTTATAATAAAAGTCCTTACAGAAAGTACTTAGTATGCAGATAGGTTCCACCCTAGTTGAAATCTCCCAAAGAGTTAAGGAAGTTGTGTTCATCACCAGGAAAGCCCAGAACTGAGGCAGTGATTTAGATATACCTGGCATTCCAAATCAAATTTTGTCATTTATTCCAGAAATCAGTTGACAATAATTTGAGTTTAATATTCCTTTTCTATTTTTTTTTTTGGTGTGTAAAATAGGATGTCTTACATTATTTTACTTTCTACATTCAGAAACTATCTCAGCTTGTCATTAGAATGATCCTTGGTCAGTTTTCAACATGGGATTACCCTCATACCCAAGGCAGCACTGGCCAAGACTTACCCGGAAGATATAGGGAACTGTTCTCTTGTCCGTGGACTTGAGAGCTATGAAAGCTATGCTGTCATACAGGGAAGTATGGCTCAGGATGCAGGGACCGAATATAGCATTCTCAGGGATGTCGCAGGTGGTGTAAACACTGGTAAAAATATCTGTCAGGCATTGCTGGACAGCCTTGGCATCTCCATCCCAGATGCCTCGCTGGATGCCTGAATCCTCCATCACTGGTGACAGATACACAGGGTAAGGAAACAACTTATATTACTCCTTATTTACTCCTTTTGCCTCTATGAATCCAGGCAGAACATTTTAACTATAGACATATTTTTCTTGAATTTGCCTGATATGTTGCATAGCATTGATTTCAAAAATAAAACCAGTGGCAGATTAAATCTGGCATATTTTGGAAAATGCCAACTGAGGAGTACTCCGCCCCCCCCCCCACCCCGCGCCTTTTAAAGATAATTGGAATCGTGGGATCTCAGAGTGGACCGCTTTTGAGAAGGACAACAGAGCTAGGAAAGACAGGTTTTTTGCATGACCTTGGGGGACAGGATTTGGGGGATAAAGGTGGGGGAACAGGAGGATTTCTTTTTTTACTAGCCTATAGACTTTTCCCGACTGAAAGGAACTTCCAACCCTTGGGAGAAAGCTCCTCTCCTCTCTTCTTATGTATTGAACTGGGTGCCCAGGAGTTGATTTTTTCTTTCTTCCAAAGAGGGGAGCAGCCTTAGTGAGCAGGCAGAGACAGCCGAGCATGGCGAATGGATTTCAAGTTGAATGTCAGGGCCACTGATTCTGTGTCAGCTAACCTTTCTCTGCAGCCTACAAGAGGGGACGTATGTCTGTTCATTACCATAATCCAACACTGTCCCTCCGAGGCTTTAATTAAAAGCAGCAAGCGGAGGTAATTATTTTTTTCTCGACATGCTTATTTATGGATGAGGGTGAATCCCAGTTACCTTGTTATACAAGGGGGTGGATTGAGTTGCATGTGCCTCATGAAGTGAGCAGGTACAGGGCAGGCCTGAAGTGTCCCCTGATTGAAATACTGCAGGTGTAGTGACTGGTGAATTCTCACTCCCCCACATATGACCCTGTTTGGGCAAGAGGGGGCAGCCCCACTTGGGTAGACCTCTGTGGGCTCTCTGACTGTTTAATCCACAGCAATTTAGAAAGTTTAATACCCTGATGGAGGGCTCTATTAAGCTATCATGAAGAGACATTTTCCTTCCTATGCCACTGGACACCCCTACAAAACTTGTCATTTAAAAAAAAAAAAACAAAGCAGGTATTCAAATTTTAAACTGGCTTTGAACTAACTGCATTGTTAGCTCTGACTGATTAAAAGATTCCCCCAAGTTGGATTTTCCCTATAACATCGCCATAGGCAGTAATTTATGAACGCTTTGTATAATTTAAGTAGCAGGAAAGAGTAGACCTAATTCTTTTCCTGAGAAGCTGTTCATTATGGAATAATATTAGTAATGTCCATTTTTATCTTAATGCCTATTAACCAATTAATCTTGCAAATGTGATTACAAGGTAGAGCTTCTTCCCCCTCCCCCCCTTTCTAGCTAACAGAGCATGAAACTTTGGTCAGCCTCTTTTTCCATTCACTCTGCTATATCCTCCAAATGTCAAGTATTAGGCTGTTTCTGCCAGACAGAAATAAGAGGAAATATCTATAAAGTAGAAACTTACTTTACTATATTACAGCATTTGTCTCTGGGTATTTTTACCCCACACAAGGTAGCTTTCTGATCTCTAATTGCAAATTTAAATACGTTGAAAAAAAAAAAACCTTCAGAATCTCTCATCTCCTTTTCAACGGAATCCTATTCTCTCCTTTTCAGTTTCCTCAATTCAGCGTTTTATGCCTCAATTTCTCTCTTCCCTTTAAAAGTCTCTTTCACACAGGCGTTTCATTGTGCCGGGAGGTCGCCCCGTCACTTCGGGCAACAGCAGGGACGCAATCATTAAAATGCAGTTCTACCTAACAATACGGTGAAAAGATCCTTGCTACGCCGCGCTAATAGGGGTTCGCGTCGCCGCGGCGGCCGCCACGAGCTGGCCACAATAACGGCTGGGCGAGAGCTTGGGTTCGCCCGCCGGCGTGCGGTCGCCTCCGCCACCCAGCCCTTCCGAGCTCTGCAGCCTGCTCTAGGCCCCAGCTCCCGTCGCCCGGGGGATCCTCCCCAGAGCCCGCGGGGATCGCCGAGAGCGCGTCGCTGCAGCCGGCCGCTCGCCCTCCCCGTAGGCAGGCATTGTCTGGCGGCCGCGCGCTCCCCAGTCGCTTGCTTCTCCCGCAAAGTGATCCCCACCCGCTCCTCCCTTTGTATAATCTTATTGCCAGTAGAGATGCCCTCAACAATTATGTTTCCCTCTCTTCTGGTGGATGACGAGACGGACGACATAAATTTCCACTCTCCCTACCAAACCTGCCTTCCTCCCCATCCCCCTCCCACATCTAAGCACAAGACTTACCAGGAATAAGGTCAGGAACGAATCGCCCAAATAAGGCCACCTGGAACCGGGAGATGCAATCGAGGGGTTTCTTTTGCCTATTGTATCAGTGCATTTCCATGTCAAGAGGTGTTGCTCTGTGGTAGGCTATGCCTAAAGAGGGGGGAGAGAGAGAGAGAGAGATGGAGAGATAGGGTGAGAGAGATGAGGAGAGAGTAAGAGGGGAGAGCGAGAGAGCGAGAGCAAGACAGCGAGAGCGCGCGGAGAGAGTTGTACAGATGGACCCGATGCAGTGACTGACTGGCACGCAGACACACACTTTTTGTTTGCTGCACATAATCTGCCCAATGACGCGTGACAGCCCACGTCCCCTCCCTTTAACTCTTTGCTGGGCTGGGCGCTCCCTTCGGCGCCGCCTGCCTCGCAGCGGTCTCTCTGGCCTGCCCGCGCCCCGCAGGTCCTGGGCACCTTCCCCAAGTGGCAAAGCCTCTCTGAGCGCGGCCCGGCCCGCCTCCTCCTAAATTAGCTTCGGCCCGCTGGGACTGTGAGGAGGGAAAAATCAGTTTCGGGGTCGGAAAGGGAAGTACCAAAAGAACTGGAGCGGGCTTTTCTCCGTTTCTCTCGACACTTGGGGAACCTCTGGCAGAGAGCTGGCCACCCAGCGCGCGCACGGAGCCCGCGCGCACTTCCCGAGTCCGAGTTCAGTAAAAGGGTGGGGGGTTGCGGATTAGCCCCTGGGGATTCCCTGGCCATTGAGCGCCCGCTGATTTGCGCAGCTAGTTCCCTGAGGGTGATAAACCGGCGCCCGCTCTCTCTTGGAGCGCTCACCCTACCAAGCCTTTCCGAGCAAGATTCAGAAAGGATGCGCTTCGGTGAGAACTTGGCTCAGTCTTCCCGGGGACCCAGAGATGGGGTGAGGAGGATGGAGCGAGGACGCCGCCAGACCACGGCAGGGGATTTACTGGGGTCATCTGGTCCCAGAACTCGAGCACCTGGGCAGGGGAAGGGTGAGGGGAGATCGGTGGGAAGAACCCCGGTTACTAGACTCAAGATGTTCCTGCCTTTCCGCTCTCTGCCTGGCGCGTTTTTCGTAGTCCCCGAGGGGGTCCCATGTTGCGGGCGGCCCGTATTCTAAGACCTCGGAGGGGGTAGTCAAAGTAAAAATTATTACCAAGATGGGCTCCGGAGAGCAATTTACATCCAGCCGGTGGTGGAAGAGCGGTTGGGGTTGCCGCGGTGGTCTCGGGAGCCTCGTTTGTGCGCTAAGCCACTTAGAGGCGCTGGCTTGCCCCTCCAGTGCCGCAGCTGATGCTAATGACTTGAGGACTTTAACAGCCTGAAAGTTGACTCCTTCAACAGGGGCCGCAACACATTTTCGCTGGGGATCTCTGGGTTCTTCTTCGCCTTTCAACTCTCAACTCCTATGGGAAGAAAGACCTTTGAGTGTATAGGCGGCTCCACTGTCTCAGCCCCACCCACAACACCGCTACTTTGAAGAGGACAATCTGTTAGCTTCAGGATAAATCGGATTGTGTCGTCGGTTGAAGTGGACCGAGCAGAACCATGACTTAAGGAGGAGACAGTCTCGTTTTTATCCAGTGTTAAAATAAGGTAAGTGGTTTGGGGGTTGGCAAAGAACAGCTTAAAAGGAAAAGGTGCTTACAGTGTTGGTTTCATCCGCTCACGACTGTGAGATCTCCCTCCGGAACCCAGTGGGGCAGCAAGGAGCGCCCGCAGTCCAAGGAGGCCAGGGAAGGATTTTGCTGAGCAGAAATAAAGATGTGGGAGTAATTTTCCACTACGTGAGTTCTCTTCTTGATCTCTCTCTCTCCTTCTCTTCTCTCTCTGCCTCCTTCCCTCCATTTTCACCTGGCCTTGGTTAGCTCCCTCCTCCCCACGTAAGTTCTAAGTTTTTCTGGTCAGACGGAGCTGCTGCCTCGGTTTAAATCGGGACTCGGCAAAAGAAGGGTTGCAAAATCCCTATAAATGAATTTCCCCTTCATTTCCAGGTTAGCTACTAAATTTTCAAAGCTTCTTAAGCTGAAAAAGCTTCTTTCACCTTAACCTATCATTTCTCTTATGCATGTGTGAACATTTTTAAACAGTTTGGCAAAGGGCAACTCTGACCAAAGCTAAATGCTGAGGACTCTCACATGTCTGTATATAAGAATCTTCTAGTGTTTTGGCCATTAGTTGTCTTATGACTGGATGCTTCATTCATACAACCCTACTCTCTCTCACACACAAGAGAGCATCCTCCCCCCACCCCGCTTGTTTAAAGAAAAGGTGAGAGAATTAGAAATGTCAAAAGAATTGCCTCAAACATCTGAAAAATAACAAGCAGGGATGAAGAATCGTGGTCACTTAAGTAAATTCAGAGAAGAAAAGGAAAAAGAAAGGGCAGGAGAGGCACAGGTGTAAACAACAGCAAGTTAAGATAAAGAATTAGCCATAAGACAGTTGTGGTCCTTCAGAAACTATAGCGTGATAAAGCGACGGTGTGTGTGTGTGTGCGCGCGCGCGCGCACGCGCTCGCAGTGCCCCTGACTCTAATTCCATTAAACTGTTGAACAGAGCAATCCTTAAAGTCTTCTTTTGCTGTTATTTAGAAAAGTTTGCCTTTCCCAGAAAAAGTCATCTGTCTATTCAAGCCACTTAAAAAAATCCTCCTACATATTGTAAATACAAAAGCATCCACTTCAGGGTGTGGGCATTTAGATAACCTTAAACTCTAAATGGAACACATTTTTTCTTTCCCCTGGCCTTTCTTTTCTTAAATATACAGGACATTTAGACTATGTCTCCTTTGAAGTTCTGAAACCTAGACTCCAGTTTGTATAAAATAAAAAAATGCTTCTGATACTTAAGTTGGGGGTGGGGGAGTTTGACCTTCCAAATCCCAAGACAGAAAATAGCTAAGATTCAATACATCAATGAAGGGAGAGATGTATGGAGAATCTGACCATCAGATATTTACTCTCAGTTTCTCTTTTCTGCCCTCTACTTAAGATTTCCCCTGCTGATTTCAGGCAGAAATCCCCAAATAAAAGAATTTCTAACATGCTATGAATCCAACCAACTCTTTGTCTTATGTATTGAATGACTGCTATAACAAAAAAACAAATATGGGTAAGATTAAGCCTGACATTCCTACTTTGAGGGTTTTCGAGTATTTTAAGTGATGCACATTTTGCTTGGTAATATAAATGGTCTTAATGACAATTATTAATAGGATGTAAAGAAGAACCTACTAAAATTACTTTTATTTCCCTAGAAATTTATGGGATAAAATGGTGCATAAACTACTTTGAAATCACTCTGCATTATTACTTACTGGAATTCGCTGATACTAAATGAAGGATTGAGGCATTTATTCAGTTTCAACCAGTACTATAAAAATGCATCTCAGTCAATAGTTGTGTCTAATTCACATGGAACAATGGGTTTATATTTGGAGGACTTTTCCATGGGATTTTATTTCCAATTAAATGATTAGAGAGGTAACAATGAAGAGTGAAGGTACGTTCACCTTGCTCCCTTTAGCGAGGCTTTGTGCAGTTATGGTGAAAAATACACATGTAGACAACTGCAGTATTGTTTTGGAAGAGAAGGCTGGAGAGAGGTTGATGAATGATTCCCGAGGTGGTGCCTTTTATGAACTAAGTGAGAGGGTGGAGAAAGGGGAAGAAAGGAAATCTGATTCCTAGTGAGTATTAGGATGGAAATGTCCTTTTTCCTCCCAGGATAGAGAAGTGGGGCCCAAAATACTTCAGCTTCTGTGATAGGAGGCTGGTGAAGTCTCTAAGAATAACTCACTTAGAAGAATTATTACCCTTTAAGAATGAAAACGCATTGTTTCTCTTTCTCTCTTCCTTTCCAGGTCCTGGTTCATCCCCCTCTAATCCTACCTCCAAAGCACCCACCAGCAAAGCCTCAGTTGTCCAATTAAAAAAAAAATCAATTCATGGTGAAAGGGAGAATACACTGGAAGACAAGAGGATGGCCAATGAAACCGTGTGTGGAAACTTTTTCCTAAGCTTATCAATGTCACATAGGGAGGTCTCAGGACAGGGCTGCGAGGGCTGGGGGAGATAAAGAATGGAACTTCACAGTGGGGTATTGCATTGCACAGCCTCACCTTGGACTTGGAAACTGTCTAAGGGATAACTTAGAGACAAGAAGAGGCAGACTTGCTGAGCTGGAAAAAGTTTACAGGGATTGGGGGGCACTTTGTTTTTTATAAGTGTACATGGTAATCTCAGTTTGGGTCTATTCCTTGTGTAAGTATTACAGTTGGTTCATCAGGTGATAAATGAAGGTTTCCCAGGTTGGTCCTGGCATAGCCAGACCCTCAAAGGATGGATAATTTTGTAGCCTGGGAGAAGGGACTCCAGTCTCCCAAGTTCAGGGATCATTACTCCTGACTCACACTGTTCTTGTTTCAGCTTTTCCTGTTTCTCAATAAATGGTAGCTGTTTTTAATGCTGCTTCTATACTACAACTATTGTCATTATGATTATAACCTACCTTTCTCAAGTTTATAACCTTCTCTGTGAGGGATCTCAAGTTCCACTCACCCTTCTCTTGGGAGTTCAGCTGTGAGCTGGATAATCTTTGAGGACTTTGTGTAATTCATTTCCTCTCCTGGATATGAGTTGTAGTTAACTGGCTTAATGGTTTTTGAGTATGACTTCTAGCAGGGCTAGCAAACTGAAGTGATATTGAAGACAACTACCACAAGTATGAAATCAACACCTCATGCTCACCTGTGTGACTGTGACTTGTGGACCAGATCCAATATTCAGCATCCTGACCCCTTAGATTCTCCCAGCTTTGATACCACTCTCCATACAATATCTAGAGAGCTGGCGGGGAATATCGTGGTTTTGTCAAATCTGTGGGTTATGATGTCCTTCCCAGACTCAGACACCACAGCCCTTGAATAGGTCTCAGCAGGAGGAGTAAGGTGGACAGAAGGAAATGTAAGCAGGGCCACAGTCAGCCACTCAGAACTTCCTCACCCCCTGGGCCAGGCTTTCCAGGCAAACTGAGGATGGAGGGCTGTCCAGTAGTCTCAAATGGGAGAGAGCATCAGATTTAGAAAGACTGTGTCTAGGCCTTGGGAATGTCACTAAGTTGAGAGGTTCACAACCAGGAGAAGGGACATTATCCCAATAGTACTTGAGTTCCACCTCTTTTTCTCTCTGTTTTAGGCTGTGTATAATTCCTGAGTTAAAAAGACAGGTGCTGATTGACATACATTGGATTCATAATAGGGAGATTACATAGCATCTGATCCCAGCTAGTTCTCTGAGATATGGACTTTGATTTTAAATTGGGCTGCTGGGGGATGAGCAGCATAACGCATTCCTCTCCTGGGAAGGGGGGGTCTAGGCAGAATGCACACATGCCCAGGACTTTCTAGCTTGGAATCTGTCCATGGCATTTGTTCCTGAAGGATTTACCTGATTTTCTCTAAGGAAAAGGGAGACAAAAAAGAAAAAAAAAACATGAAAAGGATTTGGGGAATAGATATCAATCAGTAACCACAACAGCAGCGATTCATATTGCTTTGTTAGAGCCTTGAAAATATAGTTTGATTTCTTCACAAATTATGCTCTCATACCTAAACTGCTCCCTTGGTCATATCACATATTGGACTCTTTGAGTGAAAACCATCTTTCATGATTTCAATTCAAATGAACTGCAGGTGTTTCACGATTTAATCCAGGCATATTAATTCAGCATCGATGAGGGAATGTCTCCCCAAGCATCATATGGAAAGCCTATAGCTTTTAGTAGATTTTCATAAGCACTTAAAAACTACCAATGTAAGTCTTTCTTCAATTATAATAGTTGAAAAAGTGGTCTCTCAGGGAATTCAAAGATCAACTTGTCACAAACAACAGTAACTGCATGACAACTATAAACAGTACTACTGTATATACATTACAAAATGTCAGAAATAACAGGTAAGGAGATTGAAAGTTACACTTGTTCTCTTGAACTTGCTGACTGAAAAACCAGTTCCCAGATTGACTTGATAGTCTTCTGGTAATTTAATATAAAGGTAACAAAGATATAATTCATAATCTCCTCTAAAATTCTGAGGAAAATTCATATTTTAAAAAATAAATATCCAGAAGTATCAAACAAATTATTCACAAAGTCCCAAGAAAAATAAACATATTGAATATGACCTGGATGTTGAGATTTCCTGAAGGCCTAAAATTCAGTTTAGGTCTGAACAATTTTTATACCTAATCAGATATGGTCCTTTTGTGTGTGTGTGTGTGTGTGTGTGTGTGTGTGTGTGTGTTTACACAGGTTGGGAGTGAATACTGTTGAGGGTAGCAATTTAAAAAAACTTTCAGGACTGTCATTTTTCTTGGTTCCATGTTCACTGTGCTCCCTGTTGCATGTTTTCATGTAGGATGGTTTTGAGAAAATAGCCTGTGTGAAGTCCTATAGAAGAGCAATTGTTCCTGGAGGAGCAAAGCTGAATAGAGTTCTAAAGAATATATTTCCCACAGGATCTGAGTATCTACTACCTTCTATGTGTGATCAGATGCCTCATAGCATAATCTACATTCTAGACTCAGTTTACCTGGGTCCCTAGGAAGTTAATGTTTCCAGACAAGTGGGAATCATCTGAATGTGTGAAAATATCTTGAGGAAGTCAATGTACTGAGAGTGTAGCTGTTTCCATTCTTATGTCTGCTATAGGCAGATAGTTTCTGATGTCTGGAGTCCCTGGTGTTGA